GGAGGAGCCGTGGGAGGGCGAGCGTGGCGCCGGCACGCTGGCGGAGTGCGGGGTCTTCGGCGCCGAGAGCAGCACCGCGGGCGAGCAGGAGACCTCGGGGCCGCCCAGGGGCCGCGCTCGGATCCCGCGGCGCGCGGCCACCTTTGCGAACCCTGCCTTCGGGTTCCATCGGTCGGATCCGGGGGCGTGCGACCTGCGCAGCGTGAGCCCGCGGGTTTCCTCGATCGGGTCCCAGGGTATGCGACCGCGTGCGAAGCCTACCTGTGCGGAGTTCTTCAGCGCTGGGGTATCCGACTAACCCTCGGGTCGGACGGGCATCGGAGAAGAACTATCGGCATAAGCATAAGCTTTTGGCGCTCCGCGCGGAGCTCCAAAAGCTTACGTGTATGCTGTATTTGTTTCTCTTCTCATTTTTCTTCTTCTTCTTCTTCTTCTTCCCTTCTATTCTTCTTTATCTTCTTCTTCCCTTTTTTCTTCTTCTTTCTAAGATAGGAAATAGGGGGGTCGTCGGGAAGGGGAGAGGGGGGCAGCACATCTGCTGCACGCAGCTGCTTCCAGCCCGGCCCGTCGGGCACTCCTCCGTGCGCGGGGCGCCGCCGGCGCGGGGCGGCGCCGGGCGATGTCAGCTGCTCGAGCCGGTTCGCGAACCCCCGCCTTTTTGCTGTCCCCCACTCTGTCCGACCCCCCCCCTCTTCTTCGCCCCCCCCCACCCCCCCCCCCCCCCCCCACTCTCCTCCCCCTCTTCCCCACTTCTCTTCCCCCCCCCCCCTACCCCCTCCTTTCCCCCTGTGCTTCCATTTTCGTCCCCCGACCCCCCCCCTCTTTCCCCCCCCCTTCTCCCCCCCCCTCTTCCCCCCACTTCCGTCCGACCCCCCCCTCTGCCCCCTCCTGCGGTTCGGTGGCGAAGCATGGGAGCCCGGTGTGCCCTCGTCATGCCGTCTTCTGCGTCGATCGGCGCGGCTGGAAGTCGATGAGGTAGCGCTGACTTAGCGTCGGGTAGATTTAGCGTCGATTTATCGTCGATTAGCGTCGATAGCGTCGACTAGCGTGGGTTAGCGTCGATTCGCAAGAGCCGACAAGATGGTATGGGAGGCTCCCGTGAGTTGCCACCGAACCCTCCACAGGGGACATCTAGGGGTTCACCTATTTGCAGCCATCCTTCAGATCCTGCCACCCCGCAGGGGACTCGGAAGTCTGAGCTGAAGAGCTGGGAGTCCGCGCGCGGCTGCCGGCGAGCTCGTGCCCTGGAGGCGCCGAGGGGCTCCGAGGGCTGCCAGGAAAGACTGCACGCGACGAAAAACTTGGCATCGCTCGGAAGTGTGCATTTTTCCTTCGGCGAGGGCCATCGAGGAGCATCCTTGATCATTTGGCGAAAAAGCCACGCGCGAAACCGAACAAAAAAAGCACAGGGAATGGACGTCCGAGCGATGGCGAGAAAATCGTAGGAGGGCCGGTCGAGAAAGCGGCCGCTCGCCCGCTCGGGCCGGCTCTGCCCAGAATTGCTCTCCTCGCCCGCTTTCGGCGCGGACTCGGCCGTGGTGGCGCGAGAGACGCTCCGCGGGAGCCCCAGCAGGAAAAGGGGTGAAAGCCGGCACCGAGGAGGAGGAGGAGGAGGAGGAGGAGGAGGAGGAGGAGGAGGAGGAGGAGGAGGAGGAGGAGGAGGAGGAGGAGGAGGAGGAGGAGGAGGAGTTGGGGAACGGGCCAGGGGCCCCGACCCGCTGCAGCAGGTGCACCATTAGAATGCAGCCCGCCAGCAGGTGCCCCTCGGGAGGATCCTTCCCGCGGTGGCATCGGGGGCCTGGGGGCGCCCCCTGAAGTTCCGAGGCACCCTGGAGAGTCCAGGGATCGGCGAACGGTGCGGGCAATAGTTATATCCACATCCAGTGCGTCTGGGATTCTTGGGCTCTCTTCCCCAGAAGCCATAGACGCGCTGGATATGGATAAAAATCTGGCCCCAAGAGGGCTTGATTTTATCCATATCCAGTGCGCCTCGGCGTTGCGGCACCTCTTCCCAAAAAGTCCACGACGCTCTGGATATGGACATCAGTACTGCCCGCAAACGGTGTGCTCCCGGGATCTCGTCTCGGAAGGTTCAGGCTCGCCATCGTGTGTACCTGCTGCCGGTCCCTCCCGCGCGCCCGCAGGCACGACATGCTTCGATCTGCTCCCCACGCGGTCCCGGGAAGTCCCAACCCTTTTTCGGGGGCCAGTTTTTCGTCCGGAGCAGTTTTTTGGCGGCCGCGAGTCGGCGTCACCCCAACATACTCATACTATATGTGCGTCGTTCCCCGGGGGGCGATGCGCGCACCGAGAAATCATATAGTATATGCGTCGTGGCGGGCGCTTCGGGAAACGATATACTACATCGGAAACTGAAACGTATGCATTACCAGTGGCGGGTTGTTTTTTCAATCCCGCGACTTTTTGAGGGTCGGGGACGACGTCGGGGTGGTGTGGTGTATACCTTTCCCGCGTTTTCCAAGGGACACAACGAAACATGTATACACCAGGATCCCGTATATACCAACATCCGCGTTCCTGTGCGAATTGTTGCGCAGGGTCGGGAGAAACGTCGGTGTATACAGTGCGTTTCCCCACTACAAGATGGGTATACTAAAATGTTCGGGTCGGACCCGCGCCTCCAAGGAGCACACATCGTGTTGGTATGTCTCTGTGCGTCCCAGCGAGGCCCCCCGAGGGCCCCGAGAGGGTGACCGTTGCACGGCGCGAGCGCGTCCGGACCCGCCGTCCTCGTGGCCGCCCTCGGCGGCGCGCCCTGGGGGGAGGGGGAAGTGGTGAGCAGCGGCGGGCCTCCTCGGAGGGCCGCAGGGCCTCTCGGGGGCCCCCCCCTTCGGCCGCCTGGGGAGCGTGCAGGGGGCGCCTTCGGGGAGGAGGCACTCCGAGCACTCCTCGCGGGAGGCCCGAGGCCCTCCGAGCCTCTGAGAAGGGGGCCGCCCCCTCTGCCCTCCCCCCCCCCCCTTCCTCCCCCTCCCCCTCCTCCTCCCTCTCCTCCTCCTCCTCCCTCCTCCTCCTCCTCCTCCTCCTCCTCCTCCTCCTCAAGCTCCTCCTCCCTCCTCAAGCTCCTCCTCCTCCTCCTCTTCCTCCTCCTCCTGCGGTTCCTCCTCTCCTCCTCCTCCTCCTCCTCCCTCCTCCTCCTCCTCCTCCTCCTCTCCTCTCTCCTCCTCCCGCCTCCTCCTCCTCCTCCTCCCTCCTCCCCCGGGCTCGCCGCCGACGCCCCTCCGCTGCCGCCCCGCAAGGAGAGGGCCCCCTCGGACAGCGGGGGCGACTCCGACGACCGCCCGCTGCAGGCGCCGCGTGCGTCGCACTCGGGGGCCGCCGCGGCGGCCGCCGTCGGCGCGGCCGAGACGGACCGCGGCCGAGCCAATGCCCCCTCCGCGGGGGGGCGGGGCTCCTCCTCCTCCTCCTCTCTCCTCCTCCTCCTCCTCCTCCTCCCCCTGTCTCCTCCTCCTCCTCCTCTCCTCCTCCTCCATCCTCCTCCTCCTCCTCCCTCCTCCTCCTCCTCATCCTCCCTACCTCCTCCTCCTCCTCCTCCTCTCCTCCTCCTCCACCCCCCTCCTCCTCCATCCTCCTCCATCCTCCTCCTCCTCCTCCTCATCCTCCTCCTCCTCCTCCTCCTCCTCTGGGAGGAGACCTGCGCGCGATGGGCGGCGTCCGGGCCGGTGGGCGCAGGCGCGAGCGAGCGCTCGGGGCGCTCCGCGCTCCAGGGGCCTAGGGTGCTGCCCGTTCCGGCATGGTCCGGGGCGGGGCTCTCCCTGCTGCCGCTCCCGCTCGCCCCCCTGGGAGCCTCGCGGCCGCGACCGCGGCGGCGACCGCTCCGCCTTTTCTTCCGGCGACCACGGCGCCTCCCGACGCGAACCGCGAACGTCCCCACCTCCCCCGCGTCTCCCGCCGCCCCCGCCGCCCCCCGCCGCCCCCGCCGCCCCCGCCCCCGTCGCCGCCGCCAGCGCCCAGGGCTGCCGAGAGAGAATACACGGCAGCGAGGGTGCCCTGGAGCTGTGGGGCCAGGCGAAAAGGGTGCAGTGCTGCCCCACGGAGAGCAAGGGGTGGTCGTCCACGTCCACGTCGCGTGCGAGACTTCGCTGGCGCGGTGGGCAACACAGCACGCTGCTAAAAGGGCGACCTGGTCCTCGGCCGGCGCCCGTGGTGCGCCGCCGACGTGGGCTCCTGGGATCGTGTGGCGTGGAGGTGGGGGAGCCGGCGCTTCCGGCACCGGCCGTGCCATCGGCCTTTCGATGACCTGCAGCGCCTGCTCCTATCAGCCGACGGCTCCCAGGGGACAGCTCGTGGAGTGGGCCGTCCTCGTCGGCTGGGCCAGCAGGGGCCGCATCTGTACGACAACGGCAGGCGCCCGCCCCGAGCGGCCCGCCCTCGAGGCTCAGCGCAGAGGGTGGTCGCTACAGGCCGCGCCAGAGCAGCGTGATCTCGACGGTGCCGCTTAGCCACCAGCAGGGGCGCCCTAGCAATCAGGGGCATAGGGGGGGATGCATCGGCCCCCAATCGCCCACTGATCGCCAGTAGGGGCACGACAGCCTCACCCTGCCCAGGAAGCGCGGATTCGCCATCGGGGGCCTCTCGCCGATCTGTCGGTGATGTATCGTCGATTCCGAGTCAAGGCTCCCCCCCTTCTTCCAGTCCCCCCCTAATTCAGGGGAGCGCAAAATGACATAAGCATAACAACTCGGAGGTCCGCGCGGATTTCTTGGATCCGCGCTGACCCCCTCCCTACTGCGCGGAGCGCGCCAGGAGCGGCGCCGGAGGCGCCGCCAGGGGGCTCCAGCGCCGATCCGAGAAATCCGCGCGGACCTCCGAGTTTTATGTCTATTCCCCAATCAGAGCTTGCCTCTGTAGGGGTCCTACACGTAGCGGATTCATATGGTTGGGTGAGGTTCGCCGGCGATTACCCCGGGTGCCCGGGTGCCCAGGTGGTTCGCCGACGATTTCTTTGGGTGCCCGGGTGCCTTGTATAGCCCTGTAGCCCTACAGCCCTATAGCCTTATGGCCCTATAGCCCCGTAGCCCCATAGCCCTATAGCCCCATAGCCCAATAGCCCCACAGCCCCATGGCCCTACAGTGCCGTTTTTAATACATGCTCCGAATGCGGATCATGTATTAAAAATGCAGGGTTGATTGATAAATACAAGGATGAGTTTATGCATTAATTTACTCATGAATTAATTGTGTATAAAGAATCCAATGTATTAAACATTCTATGTATGAAAAACTGCCCTGTATAGCCCCACAGCCCCACAGCCCCATAGCCCTATGGCCCTTAGCCCCGTAGACCTATGGCCCCAAAAAGATGATGATTGTCTTTTTTCTCCAGTATCGTGTCATTGTCCGTTCCCCTTACTAGCAGTCCCCCTCTGATTGTCGTTGCCCCTCAAGCCATCCGGAGGGGTGCCCTGCCAAAGTGCAGCGCGGGACGTCACCATCCGATCCCCGTCGGGGCTGCCGCCCTCGAGGGAGAAACCTCCGACCCGGACGCCGAGACGTGTGAGTGCGACGACGGGCGCCGCCGCTGCGTGCACGGCCTGGAGCTGGCGTTGTCCCCTGGAAGATCCGGTACGGTCGGACCGAGGTACAGTCGGGGCCCTGAAGAAGGAACCCTTTTCGTTGGGGAGGGGCTCCGTGTTCCTTCACTGTTTCGCAGTTTGCCTCAGATTTTCCTGAGGCTTTCGATCGGAAGTCGCAGTTTGACTCATGGAAGAAAGGGGCCTCGTTCCTTATTTAGGGTTCCTTCGGTCAACGCCCCGACTGTATAAGAGCGAGGTCGGTTCGCGGAGGGTACCCTACTTCGAAGAAGAAAAACAAACGCCATAAACATACACTCTTGGCGCTCCGCGCGTATTTCTTGGATCCACGCCGGGCTCCACACGGCGGCGCCTCCTGCGCCGCCCCTGGCGCGCTCCGATCCGCGTGCCAGGGAGGCGGGTGCAGCGCTGATCCAAGAACTCCGCGCGGAGCGCCAGAAGTGTATGTTTATGCAGTTTTTTTCTTGTTTTCCTTCTTCTACTACTGTTCTTCGTGTTTGTTTGATGTTTTTGGGCATCCTGGGGGATGGTACCCTTGAGTGACCTTGTGGTTTCAGGTGTTCTGGCCGGCGGAGGGTCTCATGCTCTTGAATGATGTTGTGTTTTAGGTCAGACCGTATTGCGGTAAGTATTTCCACAAGGGCTTGGGCTCGGAGGGCGCGAATCCAGAGTGGGGCGCCTTGAGGGTGGACTGTGCCAGTGTCGGGAGGGACGTGGGGGAGGGGCTCCTGAGACGTGAACGGAAGCGGTGCCGTGCAAGTGCCGTTCGGTTATGGGTCCCTTCGGCCATCCTGCCGGGGACGGGCGCTTCCGGTCACGTCAATGGCGTCAGGGCAGAGGCACGTGTTGGCGCTGCGCACGAGAGAGTCATAACATGACCTCCAAGCAGGTATCCTCCTCTTGGTAGCGCGTGTGCAAAAGCACCGCTCGGTCAGGACAACTTCTGGGCCTTGGGGCTCGAGGAAGAGGGTGCTCACCCGGGCGGGGCTTGGCCCAGGGCTGGTGGTAGTGTATTGCTGCCGAGGCACAAAGGAAACAAGCCACGCGTGGAGCCGAAGGCCTGCTGATCGATAATTCGGAGGCTGCGCCGCCAGTCTGCTCGACACGCCCAGTCACCCTGACCAAGCATAGCCCGACGGCAGGCACGTTTTTTCGGTGTCGCCCGCCTTCTCTTTCCTCGCCCTCTTTCTCCTTCCCCCTCCTGCTTCATCTAGCCCTCCCTTATGTTAATCATCCTACGGCCGCTTGTGCGCTCACGTCTGCATGAGCCTTGAGGTTTTCCACTGCATGCTGAAGGTTGGTGGTGGATTTGATCTGAGACACTCTGGCGCGCGTTTGCCGTCGGTCTTCCTCCTCGTTCTCCTCCTCGTTCTCCTCCTCCTCCTCCGTCTCCTCCTCCTCCTCCTCCTCCTCTTTGTCCCCAGGACTGGGGTGAGCAGTGGGACTGCTACTGCCTCTACAAGGCGGGCCGCCTGACGAGATGCTTGGCCTTCGCACCGATCGATCATGCCATATGTTTTTCCCCCGTATCTCCCGTGTGTACATCTGCCACGGCCTGGTCTCCTCATCAGTGGTGGTTTCAGCTGCCGCCTCTGCGGGTTTGCATCCGCCTGAGTCTCCGTACTTGCACCTCCGCCCAGGCCGATGCGTGTCTTTCGATTATTGGCTCTCTCCCAATCGCGTGTCTTTATTTACATTTCTAGCGCTCTCTATCTCTCGCTTTCTTATTCCTCTCGTCTCTCTCTCTCTCTCTCCTGTCTGTCTGTCTGTCTGTCTGTCTGTCTGTCTGTCTGTCTGTCTGTCTGTCTGTCTGTCTGTCTGTCTGTCTGTCTGTCTGTCTCTCTCTCTCTCTCCCTCTCTCTCTCTCTCCATTTATACATACATATATATATATAAAGAGATATTCATATCTATATTCAATATAGATAAGTACTGCCCCCCCCTGGCCCTGGGTCCCACACCTCCCCGGAACATCTCGGGAACGCTCTCAGTACCTCTCCCCCGGCCTTTCCGGGGAGCCTCCACAGCGCTCCAGGAGGGCCCAAGACGCCGCCCAGGAGCTCCCAGAATGCGAAGGGATGGCCCAAGACGCTCCTAAGCAGCCCAAGTCAGCCTTCCGACGGCTTTCGAGGCTCCCAGGTGGCCTTTAAGAGACCCCAAGAGAGGTCCGAGAGCCGTCTCGGGACGGCCCGAAGAGTCCAACATCGTCGAATTTCATTTCTTTTTTTCAATGTTTTTGGCTTCTCGCGTTTTCGAGCTTCCAACGCCCCAAGAACGCCGAAGAGCTGCCCAAGACCGCCCCAAGACCACCCAAGAGACCCTCAGGACGGCCTCAAGACGGGCCGATAAGGCTCCAAGACTGCCCAAGAGGCGCCCAGGACAGCCCCAGACCACCCCAGAACAGGCCCAAGATGGGCCCAAGAGCGGGAGCAGGAGGCTTCCAGAAACCTCCGAGAGGCCTCCGGGACCCCCCAGAGGCCCCCAACACCCCCCCAATCCTTGAGAGGCTCCAAAAAAGACCTTGACGAGGCTCCAAGAGCAGCCCAAGAGAGCTGCGAGAGCCGTCCCGAGAGAGCCCAAAGAGGGTCAAATCGTTGATTTCCAATGGTTTTTCTATTTTTTTTCGCCTTGTCACGTTTTCTTCCCGCTTCCAACCCTCGGAGATCGAGGATAAAAAAACACATAGAATTCCAATATTTTTTTTCCAAAGTGGACGCTTACTCGGAGATCCCACACATCCTCTGACATCTGGCCGGCACCGCACCCCAAGACGCCTAAGGACAGCCCAAGACGACCCCAAGGAGCCCCCAGAACGTGAATAATGGCCCAACACGCTCCCGCGCAGCCCGAGACACCCTTCCGACGGCTCTCCAGGCCTCCAGGAGTCCTCCAGAACCACCAGGGGGTCTGGAAGATCACACACCCCTGAGGGGCCGAGGAACTGGAAAACAATGGAAATCCCACAATTCCTCCGTTTTTTTTATTTTGTTCTCTCGCACAACAGGCTACAATTCAGACCCCCCTCACCTCCCAAAAACAGCCCTGGAAGCTTTGGAGGGCCCCAAATCGTTGAATAGGGCCCCAAATCGTTGAATATCGAAAGGAAATGAATGGTTTCTGCATTTACGCACTTCCTCTTTGTACGATTCCGAGGCTTGCGCAGGGCCTGCAAGGAAGTCCCTGGACGCAAGAAGCGACCAACATGATATTCTTAGGCTTACGCCACACCGACGACCCCTTGGGGGCCTTTTCGGGGGCGGGCGGGCTGTATTCGGACTCTCTTAGGTCGTCTCGTAGACTCTTTCGGTGGCGTGTTTTGGACTTTCTTCGAGAGCTGAATGGGAAAGAGGGAAGAGGGGGCGAAAAAGAGGATGATAAAGAGCAGGAGAATACGACGCGGAAGGCAAGGGCGGCGACGGACTGGCGCCGTCGTGCGAATCCTCTCGGGGGCCTGCGGGAGGGAGTTTGGATGCTTCTGGGGAGCTGTTTTGGGGCCTCTTGGGGCCTCTTTTGGACTTCGGGGGCCTCTTGGGCGCCTCTTGGGGCCTCTTGGGGGCCCCTTAGGGCCTCCTGGGTGCCTTTTGGGGCGGAAAGCTAGAATTTTAGGTTCGTGGTCCCTGTCTGGAGCCTTTCTTGGGGGCCTCTTGGGGCCCTCTTGAGCTGTCTTGAGGCCCTCTTGGGCCGTCTTGAGGCCCTCTTGGGCCGTCTTGGGGCTCACTTGGGGGCCTCTTGGGTCGTCCTGGGGCGTTCTTGGGGGACTCTTGCGCCGTCCTGGAGCGTCGGAAGCCGAGAAAAGCGAGAAGGCCAAAAACTTTGAAAAAAACCAATGAGAAGTAATGATTTTGGCCTCTTGGGGCCCTCTTGGGAGGCCTCTTGGAAGCCTCTTCGGGCGTCTTGGCGGCATCTTGGGCCGTCTGAAGGCAATCTTCACCGTCTTCGAACGATTTTTCGGCGACTCGGGGCCCTCTTGGACCGTCTTCAGAGCTTCTTGGGAGCCTCTTGGCTCGTTTTGGCCCCCCAGCAGGCTTTCTGGAACGGATGACCCCCCCGGGCCCGCGCCGGGGAGGCCCGGGGAGGCCGGCCGGCCCCCCCCCCCCCTCCAAATCGACCGGACCAGGTTCCCGGGGGAGGGGTTTGGGGAGGGGGAAGAATTTCACACGCCGATGATCCCCAAGGGGTCGGCGGATTACATGAGTTAGCTTATCAAGCCGAGCTAGAACTTGAGCGCTCGCGAAGCGCGCGCGATGGTTCGAGTATATGCGTGTGTGTATATATATATATATACATATATAGAGCTCTCTCTCTCTTTTTATCCTCTCTCTCTCCCCCTCTCAGTCTCTCTCTTTCTCTCCCGTTTCGCCTACCTTGTATAATCGAAGACTCGTGCAACGAATCAACGCCGCCCCCTGCCTTATGGGCAAAGTTTTGCCACGCTGTTGGACCACGCGCTCCCCCAGCCGCTGTGGAAGCATTTCGGGGAACATGCGGGGGAGGAAGATGAGGACGAGGGGGAGGACAACGGAGGATGAGGAGACGGATGAGGAGAACTCTTGGGAGCTTCTTGGGTCATCATCGAGGCCTCCTGGGAGCTTCCTGGGGGCCTCTCTGAGGCCCATTGGGGGCCTCTTGGGGTGTTTCTTGGGGGCCTCTTTGGCTGTCTTGTGGCGTTCCTGGCCTGTTTGGCGCTGTCGGAAGCCGTCTTGTGGGCCTCTCTGGGCTGTCTTGGGCCACTCTTGGGGCGCTTCGGGGTCGTGTTGAAGGCCATCTTGGGCGTCTTGGAGGCCTCTTGGGCCGTCTTGGGGCCCTTTGGGGGTCATTTTGGGACGTCCTGGGGCTATCTTGGAGACCTCTTGGCCGATCTTGGGGCAATCTTGAGGGTATCCTGGGCGTCTTGGGCCGTCGGAAGGTTGTTGTGAAGCAAATGCCGAAGTCCGTCAAAAAATGTATGAATACATGATTTCGGCCTCTTCGGGCCGCCCTGGTGGACCTCTTCGAGGCCTCTTGGGGCCCAGGGCGGCCCCTCGGAGGCCTCTTGGACGCCTCTTTGGCCGTCTCCGAATTATCTTGGGCCGACTTGGTGCCAACTTGGCCGTCTTGCAGACGTCTTGGCACCGTCTTGGGCCACTGCTGGAGGCCACCTTGAGGCCACCCGCGGAGTCTTTGGGGAGAGTCGATGTGGTGTCTGTGGGTCGTTCCGGGTGGCCGGCGCCCGGGGCCTCTGTGGTTCCCTCGGCCAATGGGAGCCAGCTCAGAGCCAGGCGTCTCGTTCTGCAGAGCTTGCGCTGCCGTCGGTGCAAAGGAGCGTTCGGTCGGGGGAGGGGCTGCACGGTGTGTGTGTGTGTGTGTGTGTGTGTGTCGGGGGAGGGGCGCGGAGCGAGGACGTCCGCGCCCCTTCAGGCGCCGATGTCGAGGAGGAGGAGGAGGAGGAGGAGGAAGAGGAGGAGGAGGAGGAGGCGGAGGAGGAGGAGGAGGGTTCAACCCCCCTTGCAGGAGGCTCGTTCAGTCAGGAGGCAGGAAGGGGGCTCGTTGCGTCGGACCCCTGTGAGGCTAAGTCTGGCACACGTGTTGGCCGAGTTTCGATGACCGGGATGTTTATTCTCAGCTGCACGGTTCTGCCCTCCCCTCCTCGGTTTTGGAGTTCCTGCGGGCTCTTCGGGAGAGTGGTGGGCCAGGTGTCTTCCTGGAAGAGCCTACTGATACGTAGGCGTGTTCTTCTCTTCGAAGAGCGGACCCTGTCCCACGTAGTCAGCACACTCAGCACCCGCCTTCTCCTCCTCCTCCTCCTCTTCCTCCTCTGATCCTCCGCCTCCTCCTCTTCCTCCCCCTCCCTCCTATTCCTCCTCCCCCTCCTCCCTCCTCCTCCTCCCTCCTCCTCCCCTCCCGCCTCCCTCCTCCCTCCTCCTCCCTCCTCCTCCTGCTCTCACCTCCTTCCTCCTCCTCCTCCTCCTCCCCTTCTCTTCCTCCTCATCCCTCCTCCCTTCTCCTCCCCTATCCTCCTTCCTCCCTCCCTCCCTCCCGTCACCCTCCTCTTCCTCCTCCTCCTCCTCTTCCTACTCGTCCTCTTTTCCTTATAAGTGATTTCTCCCTGCCGCACTCCGAGGTCAGTTTTCAGGGCGGGCTGGGCGTTTCGTCTGAGAGTTCATCACCATTTAAACATCAGGCGTCCTCGCCTGATGCTTAACAGTTGACAGCCGTTTCACAGACGGAGGGCGGGTGGTTTTCAAAATGTGGCTCTCGCCTTAGCGCCGCGCGCATTCGTTTTAGAATTGTGCAAGAGTTTCACGGATTGAGGGCGGATGGTTTTCAACATGTGGCTCTCGCATTAGCGCCGTGCACAGTCGTTGAACAAATGCGAGAGTTTCGCTGATTGAGGGCGGATGGCTTTCAACATGTGGCTCTCGCCTTCGCGCCGCCCACATTGATATTAAAGTTGTGCAAGGGTTTGTCGGATTGAGGGTGGTTCTTATTCAACATGTGGTTCTCGCCTTAGCGCAACGCATATTCGTTCTGCGCATTGGCAGAAGTTCCATTGCTTCTCATGGTTAGCGTACCAGGTATGATGGGCACACCAGATACGTTGATTCGAGGTGTTGAAGTCTCAGGAAAGGCGTTCTTGCGCGGTTCAGTATCGCCATGACGTAACAGTCGGTTCAACTTGTGCTGTTGAAGTGTTGCAAGTGGTGTTTTGGCACGCTTCAATATGTTCGCACGGTTGTCCCTCAATGCTGCAATTCCATCGGTGGAAACGACTCGTTGTAGGGGCCCATGAAGAGGGATTTTGGAGCGACTCCATCATCCTTCTTTCTCCTCTCTCCTCCATCCTCCCTCCTCCTCCTTTTCCTCCTCCTCCTCCTCTTCCTCCTTTCCCCTTCATCCTCCTGCTCCTCCGTGAATCGGCACTTTCCCCTCCTCCCTGGCAGCACCCCGGCGGGCGGGGTTCCGCCTTCTCTCTGGAGCTCCCAAGTGGTGTGGTGCCCGCACCATGTGATACAGTCGGGGCGCTGAAGAAGGAACCCTTTTCGTTGGGGAGGGGCTCGGTGTTCCTTAATTGTTCCACGCCTTGCCCAAGGTTTTCCTTCAGCTTTCGATGGGAAGTCGAAGGTTAACTTATGAAAAAGGGGGCCTCGTTCCTTATTTGGGGTTCCTTAGGTCAACGCCTCGACTGTACTTGCGGATTCGGGGTGGCCGCGGGGTCTCGGGACCCGGGCCGTGCTCCGAGAACCCTTGGGGCGACCAGGAGCCTCCAGGGGTACGGCCTGCCGCCCTTCGGTGGCCACGTGCGAGCCCTGCCCCCAGCACCCCGCGATCTCCAAGGGGGAAGGTGAGTTCCCTTCGCTCGGGAGGTCCCGAGCGAAGTGAGCCCCACCTCCCCCCTTAGAAATCGTGGGGTGCTCGGGTACTCGGGGGCGGAACAGAGGGGGGTGATGACTAGGGGGGGTGGATCTCATGGCGGGGGCCATGATATTTCCCCAGATCTCGTGGCGCCTCTTCTCATTTCCTTACGTCCCTGGCCCCCCCGCTGGGCCGCGTACGTGCCGCCGGTCATGATTTGCACCCCCCCTCTTGGACACCCCCTCTTGGCCGCTCCCGAGATGCGGTTCGCATGTGGCCTCCTAAAGCCCCACCGTGTCGGGGCCTCGGAGCCTCCCCGCGGACTGCCCGCGCGCGCGCGCGGGCGAGGCCGAGGTCGAGCTGCGCGGCGGCGCGCCGCTGCTCTTCCGCCAGTGGCGCGGGGCTGGAGTGGAGGAGAAGGGGGGTCAGGGCGGGAGGAGGAGGAATGCAAATCGCATGAAAGCAATACAAAGCAACAGCATGCAATGCAATGAAATGCACTGCAATGCAATGCAATGCAAAGTAATGTAATGCAATGTACTGTAATGTAATATACTGTAATGTAAGGTAATGCGCCGTACTGTAATGTAATGTACTGTACTGCACTGTCCTGTACTGTACTGTACTGTAACGTAACGTAACGTAATGTAGTGCGATGCAAAGCAATGCAGCGCACTGCAACGCCAGGCAAAGCAGTGCAACGCGAACACACAGTGCAGTGCAATGCAGCGCAGCGCCATGGCAGTCTGATTCAACACGATTCCACTACAGTGCGATTGCAATGCAGCGGGGTGGTGGTGCAACGTGGCGGCGGCGGGCGTGAACCCGGCCTGCGTGGCCGCACATGGGCTTTCGTTATTGGGCAGGGCTGGACCTCGACGCTGTTTGGCTGGACTTCGGCTGTGTTTCGTTTTTCGTTTTGGCAGGGAGGTACAGGAGAACAGGTGGAGCAAACACGAACAACGAAACGGCAACACAACGAACAGCAACGTTCAGGCCCAGCCCTGTTATCTGGAACGCTGGGGCGGCGACGGACGGGAACGAGGCCGCCGGGGCCGCACGCGGGCCCGGTGTCGCAGAAGCGACGCAAGACATCCACAGTGCGAGCACGGTCTGGGGGGAGGAGTAACAAAAGTAATGCGCATCTGCAAAGGAGCGGATCCTTGAAGTAGGGGTCTTGAAGAAGGAACCCTTTTCGTTGGGGAGGGGCTCCGCGTTCCTTAAGTGTTTCACAGCTTGCCTCAGGCTTTCCTCATGTTTTCGACAGGAAATCGAAGGTTAACTTATGGAGAAAAGGGGCCTCGTTCCTTATTTAGGGTTCCTTAGGTCAACGCCCCGACTATAAGGAAGGGAGAGAGGCCCCCCAGAGGCCCCCAGGAAGCCCCAAAGGGGCCCCCGCGAGGCTCCCAAGAGGCCCCCAGTAGCATCCCACGAGGTCCCAAAACTACCCCAAGAGGCACCCGAGAGCGTTCGTCGTGGTCGTCCTCGTCGTCGTCGTCGCCATTCAGGGTCGGCGGCACTGGCCGCAAGGCCTTCGCAATAGTAAGAGAGGGAGGGAAGAAGGGGGGAGGGAGGAGAGCCTCAGATCTCCATCCGAGGTGACCTCGCCAGTCCTCCGGAGCCCTTCCCGGGGTACTCTTGCGCCACGCGGCCAGTTTCTGGTGGCCCCTCGGGGACTCGACGGCGGGCCCCGGAGGCCGAGATCGAGGCAGCGCGGCGGGACGGAAGCAGCCATGTCCTGAGCCCGTCTGGCCACTCGTTGGCGCTCTTCCTCTTCTCGGGGGCGGACAGAACCCTCAGCAGTGACACGTCGCTGAGTGACTCGTCCGTTTCCGGTTCTCGAGAGGGCGCCGCGGCCGTCATTTTCCAGGCTTGCGTCCGCCAGGTTTGGGCCTCAGGTCGTTTTCACCAAACTACGTTTTGCTAAGGGGGATTCTGTCCATCCCCGATGTTCCAGACCCGCCGCTTCTCAGAGATCTCCGGGGGAGGGCCCCAAGCGATGCGGCGACCGCGCGGTGAGTCTCCGTGGGGATTCGGGGCGGCTGCGTGGTGCCTCTGGGGGTTCCCGTTTTCACCAAACCACGTTTTACTACAGGGAGGTCTGTCCATCCCCGCCTTTCGGGCTCCAGCCCGGCTCTCCAGAGGCCGATTGCGGGACGATGCGCGGGCACGCCCGGAGCGCGGTCGGCGAGGCGCAGCCGCGGGAAGGCACCCCGGGGCCGGGAGGCCGCGGAGGACCAGGAGAGACTCAGGAGGGGAAAAAACACACAGTCACAATGACTCGTCGATTCCCAGGAAAATATGGGAGAATATGGGAAGTGGGGGGAAAGACAAAAACCAAGAAAATATGAGAAAATATGGGGAATCATTTTGTTTGTGTGTACTTATTTGTGTGTCCCAGGTCCCCTTCAAAGACGTCCGAGGACCTCGAACCTCGAAGTCTTCCGTCGCCCCCCCCCCCAACGTTCTGGTTGACCCAAAAGGGGGTCCAGCGAAGAGAGGGTGGTGCAACAGACTTGGTGCAATAGATTTGTGGGGTTGCAGCAGATAGGGGCGTGCAGTGCATTCCGGTGCTCAGATGTATTGCTGGGCTTTTGCGTGCAATTTATGAGTTGCAATACAATGCAAGACAATTCTCTGGCGCAATACATCTGCAATACTATTGCCCAAGACCTATTGCACCACCCCCTTTCGGCTGGACCCTCTTTTGGGTCAACCAGAAACGTTACCCCTGATTCATCGAGCACAGAAGAACCCCTAACCCTAAGAACTCGATGAAGACGTGGCCTCGCTGAGGTCCATGGCTTCGCATTGTGGACAGTCGTTCTGGGCGGTTTGGTCTGACACATCGGCAGAAAACATCAACCCTACCCCTGATGCTTCTGGCCCTCCTAACTCAGGTCCCCTCCCACTGGGTCAGGGGTCCCTTCTCCTGCTCAATCATTGGCTTTCTCGGGGATCGGGCCCCCCGGCAGGTCCCAGTCAGCGGCACCTCTAGGTGAGCGACGGGAAGAACGCGCGGTCGACTGTGCCGACATTCGCGGGCGAGCGGTGCGCGTGAGGTCGCGCGCGAGCGCCCCCGTCTCCAAGGTGGCGAGCCGCGCGGGCGGCCCGCGTGAGCCCCCGCGTGAGGTCGCTATGTCTTGTCGCGTGCGGGACCTGATCCAGAACAGGAACGTGTCGTAGGCGGATCTACCCTTTCCCCGGCCTTGCACCACGCCGAACGCCACGGCCACGTTGTCCGTAGACGTGTCCCTCCCGAAAGTGTCTGTGGACGTCACGGCAGGCCAGCACGTGAGAGCGCTATTTGGTGTCCGCCCCAGATGTTGGTCTCCTAGAAGCAGGCAGGCTTGGCCCTTTAACTCAAATGGGGGCCACTTTGGGCTTGGGAGGGGGCTCGTGCGATCGGCCCGTTCCCGAGCCCAACGTCGGGGCTGGTGGCACCCCAGAAGTCCGGCGTCTCGGTTTTTTCGAGACACGAGCCCCCAACCTCTCGGCCGCCTTCCTTCCTCGAGCTGAAAAGAACCCCTAACCCCAATAACACGATACAGACGTGGCGTCACTGAGGTCCCCGTCTTCGCATTGGAAATAATTCTGGGCGGTCTGGTCCGATGCATCTGAAGAAACGTGCCCCCATCCCTAATGTTCCTGGCCTTCCTAACTTAGGTCCTCTCCCAAAGGGTTCGGGGTTCTTTGATGCCTAATCATCTCTGTGGCCGGTTTCTCATACCGAGTCGCTATCTGACGGTCACGAGGGCAGGTAAGGGGCTTTGAGAGGCCGAAAACGATGAAAAGCCCGCCCAGATGTTTTTGAGACATCAGGGTTTCTGGGGGGAGGCAGTCGGCACCTCCGTCGACGTCGTCGTCGTCGCCGTCGTTGTCATCATCATCAGTCTCATCGTCATCACCATCATCATCATCATCATCATCATCATGATGATCATCATCATCGTCAGTATGATCATCATCATCATCATCATCATCATCATCATCATCATTATCATCATTATCAGTCTCCACATCATCCCCATCTTTATCATCTCCTTCACTTATCACAATCACCTGCCGTCATCACCACCATCATCACCACCTGCCATCATCATCATCATCATCATCATCATCATCATCATCATCATCATCATCATCATCATCATCATCATCATCATTATCATCATCATCATCATCATCATCATCATCACCGTCACCGTCACCGTCACCGTCATCATCACCGTCATCGTCGTCGTCGTCATCGTCGTCGTCGTCGTCGTCGTCATCGTCGTCGTCGTCGTCGTCGTGGCCGGCGCCGCTGGCCTTTGCTGCGCCGCGCAGGTGGCAGTCCGGGGCCTTCCGCCGGGACGACCTGACGCCGCCCGCCTCGCCCGCCGCCGAGGGCGCCCCGCCGCCCGGGTCGCCCGCGGAAAGCGCAGAGGCATTGCGGCCCGAGGACGGCGGCGAAGCTGCTGCTGATGCTGATGCTGATGACGATGGAGATGCTGCTGATGCTGATGATGCTGATGAGGATGATGAGGATGATGATGAGGGTACGTGGTATTGATGATGACGATGATGATGACGATGATGATGATGATGATGATGGTGATGATGATGATGATGACCATGCTGATGATGAGGATGATGATGATGATGCTGATGACGATGTTGATGGTTATGATGCTGATGATGATGAGGGTAGGTGATCTTTATGATGATGACGACGATGATCATATTGACGAGCATGATGAGGATAATGGGGAGAAGGACGATGATGATGCCGACGATGATGCTCATGATAATGATGATGATGATGATGATGATGATGATGATGATGATGATGGTGATGATGCTGATGACGATTCTGATGATGATGCTGATGCTGCTGATGATGATGAGGATGATGATGATGATGATGATGATGATGATGATGATGTATTCGACGAGGACGGCGACGCTGACGACGACGACGGCCCGACGGCAGCGCCAGCGACGATGTCGACGACAACGACGATGAACACGATGACGATGACGACGATGACGATGAGGATGACGATGATGATTATAAAGATGCTCATGATGCTGCTGATGATGATGGTGATGATAATGATGATCTGGATGGCAGATGATGAGGGTAGGTGATCATGATGACGATGACGATGACGATGACGATGCCGCTGTTGAGACGATGAGGATGATGCTGATGCTGCTGATGATGATAACGATGCTGCTGATGATGCTGATGATGATGCTGATTCTTCTTCTTCTTCTTATTTGCATTGTTTGGAATCCAATACTGGCGGTGATGGTGCTGATGATGATGATGCGAATGATAATGCTGATGATGATTCTCTTGATGATGATGATGATGATGATGATGATGATGATGATGATGATGATGATGATGCTGATGATGCTGATGATAATGATGATGCTGACGATGATGGTGATGATGCTGCTGCTGATGATGAGACCGATGAGGGTACGTGATATTGTTGATGATGATGATGATGATGATGATGATGATGATGATGGTGATGATGATGATGATGATGCTGATGCTGATGACGATTGACGACGACGATGACGATGATGATGATGACGATGATGATGATTAGATGATGATGATGGTGGTGGTGGTGATGATGACGACGCTGATGATGCTGATGATGACGATGATGATGATGATGATGATGATGATGATGATGATGATGATGATGATGATGATGATGATGATGATGATGATGCTGATGATGATGATGATGATGATGATGATGGTGGTGGTGGTGGTGGTGGTGATGATGATGATGATGCTGTTTCAGGTTTTGCTGTTGTTTCATCTTCTATCGTTTCGTCCTCTCCCCTCCCTATTCTCCCCACAGTACATCACTGAGAAACGTAGAGCATGTCTCAACAGCTTCAACGGGGGTTGACACCCAAGCCTCCGAGGTGAGAAGCTGTTCCGACTTCGTCGGTGATCCCATTCCCATTCCCGTTCCCTCCCTCCTCTCCCTCCCCTGGCGTGCCTGGCCCATGCACTCTTGCATGGCTGGCACGCGCAGCTTTCTGAAGCCCCCGAGGTTGCTCCTGTGCAATCCGGTCGGGGCCCCTGTAGAGCAGGGTGGGTTTCAGCAAGGCCGACATCCCTGTTCCGCGGCAGCAGAGTTGGGGTCGACCCCGCGTTTGGATCTAGGGTTCGAGCTGCTTCTCTCTACCATCGACCTCCTTCCCCCTCGTCTTCACCCCAATGGGGGGGGGATTGGGTCCCGCCTTTTGTCTTCAGCCCGCTCGTCGTGCCTCCCGTGCAGGAGGCCGCTGCCTTCACCGTGCGCATGGTGTGCTCACTGTCCGTGTGCTGGTGCGTGCTCTCTCTCTCCGATCCAGGGTTGCTCGTGAATCACTCGTCGCTTCTCTGCATTCGCCACTGTCTCTTCCGATGTCCTCTCGCTGTTCAGGAGGAGCCCGCGGACGAGCCGCCAGAGGAGCGGTCCGCAGGCGAGGAGCCATCGGGCGATGGCGCCGCGGGCGCGAACGAGGACGCGGCGAGCATGGGAGGAGGACGAGACGGGGAAGGAGGATGAGGAGGCGGAGGACGAGGAGGAGGAGGAGGAGGAGGAGGAGGAGGAGGAGGACCGTAGCCATTTTGGCTTAAGGGGCCTGCTCCTGAACTTCCAACCTCGCTCGAAATATGGAGGCTCGTGATTTTCAGAATGTCCCCACGAGACTTGTGGCCAAGTGCTCGCGACCTCACCAGTAATCCTTTCTCTCCCAAGCCAGTCTTCTGTGTCAGTCCCTCGGCGCGGATTCTGGGCTGGGGCTGCAGGGCATGTCATGTGTGGAACCGCGGCAACAAGACCAACTGCTTTAGCTGCGGAGCCTGTCGACCCGATGGACGAGGCCCGACTTTCGCCGACCCGCCGCCGCCGCAGGGGGAGCGCTCATACGTTGGAGGCCGCCGCCGCGAGCCCCAGGTCAGCACTTCTCCTCCCCCATGGGCCAACAGTGAGTTCACTCGAGGACCAGGTGGTGGAGGTAAAGGGAGGGATAAGCAGGGCGTCAAAGGTGGAGGAAAGGGTGGAGGGCATAGCCCACCAGTCACGGATCAGCAGATAGAGTTCTGGGTGGCGATGCCAGGGGGGAAAAGGCAGACCGGCATTACCACATTCACCCAGGGCCAGCGAGACAAAGTTGCATGCCGTCGTCGTTTGCGAGCCGCGGGGATGCAAGACCCGTCCCAGAACAAGATTGTGCCCCCTCAGGTCCGATCGGCCTAGTTCGGGGTTCTCCAGGCAGAGCAGCGGGCAGAGGCAACGAGGGAAGCAGCAGCGGAGGCAGCAGTGGCAGTGTTGGAGTTTGGAGAGTTGTTGGCCCAAGCCAAGAAGGAGCTCGAGAAAACCAGGCGCCGCTACCCAACAGCTGGGCTCGCCTGGGCCAACAACCGCACCAGGAATCGCAGCAGAAGTTAGGGCAAATTTCGGCAAACTCACCACTCCTGGGCAAGGTGGGCCTCGGCGGAATGAGTCGGAGGGCGCGAAACAGGCTGAGGAGGCGCTCCAGCAGCTCATTGGGCTCACGCCGAAGGTGGAGCAGCCTACTGGTGGTGGCGGTTGTCCTGGTGCTGGGGCTGGGGCAGGTGGAGCCCAAACATTGAGTGCAGGAGCAGGTGCCGCTGGAACTGGCGCGAAGGATGTGCCTATGAAAGAGTCAGAGGACGCAGGAGGCGCCGAGGCAGCCACACGCGTTCGAGAGCTCATTGGCAATTGGGCGGGTGATGATAACGACCAATCTCGACAAGACGCTCGTGCACTTAACCTTTTTGCTCAACCTAGTTGAGCAGACCCTGCTATTGCTAGACCAGGTTTCAGTCAATATATAGCGCAGCTGATGTTCAAGTCGGATCAGTCCGGCAGACCGACCGTGCTCGCACAAGGACTGCAAAGAGCCTGGTCACGAGTCAGGCGCTGGCATGTAGCGCGCTGGTCCGCAGAACGAGTGCAGTTCTGGGATAAAGCGGTTGCAGGATCGAGCTCGTCCAGGGTAGCTTTTCTCAGACAGACCAAGTTCGAAATGGCGAGCCTCCAGCAGTTTTCACGGTGTGAGGTGCTCTGGGATCTTGAGAAATTCGATGACGCAAGAGATCCAGAGCAGCTGCGGTATGCAGGAGCTAATGTTGAGTATCCCCTGACCCACGTCTTCCTCGGTCTCAGCCTCCATTTCGGGACTCGAAGGTGCCAGGCTGGAAGGAGTCATGTCGGAGTCCCTGGTGGGCTTTTCAGGGTCCTAGCGGGATGCTCCCAGGGCGTAGATCTGTTTCGATTCGCACTGTGGCAGATGGTAGCTGATTTGCATGGGGATGTCAGACCAGTGGAAGTGCAGAGCTGGGTGGATGACTGCAGCCTGTTTGCTGTGGGCAAGGAGTCGGCGGTAGTGGGCAAGACGGTCCAGGCCGTCCAGGCCTCGCCTGACATTTCCAGGATTTAAGGCTAAGGAAATCTAGCAACAGCGTTCTCATCAATAACCCTCCCAGAGTGGCTGAGGAGACCCTGCGCAGACTAGGCCCCCGCGTCCGTTTCAAGCGTTCCCAGGTTGTCGAGGATTTCGGGATCGACGGCGCATTTCATCGGCGAGGTGTCGCAGCGGCCGAGAAGCGAATGCAGGACAGCACCCCTAGGGGCACTCTAATTCGGCGCGCTGTCAAGACATCCAGAGCTGCCGAAACAACTGCCTAAGCCGGTTTCGCCCCCGAGAGCGTGCGGGGAATAGAGGCGCGAGGAGTGCCCCCCCTCGACGCCGCTGAAGATGCGAGCGCAGAGTTCGGCCATGGTTTGCCTCGAGGAAGGATGCGGCGCGACTGCGTCCATCGGGGCGGCCCTCCCCGCGGCGCGCCGGGACCCGATGGTGTTTGGCAGGCTGCGTCTGTTCAATGAGTGGATGGGGTTCCTGTCCGTGCTTCTGCCGACCCACCGCCAGGCTCCTTGCGTCGCCTGGAGAAAGCAGTTTCCATTTTAGACGGGGCCAACCGGTGGGGCAAAATCTAGGGGGCCCCGTCGGTTACTGCGGCCGCGCCTTTGGGCCTCGGGTGGAAACCTCTTTCGCTGACCCTGTGGCGGGATCCAGACGGCGTGCAGTTCGACCTGGAGAAGGCTGACCAGCGGGCCAGGGAGCTAGCAGCGGCGCGCTCTAAAGGCAGATATCTTCAGCATGGCCGCGGTCTTACAGTCCATCGCCAACGCGTGCCCGCCTTGAGAAAAGAAGGGCAATGCGACGCAGCTGGCTGTCTCGCGCGGATTATGGCAGGTGCGCCTTGGCCTGCCAGTCGGCGCTTTGGAGGAGAAGCGACGGGGCCCCTTGCGGCCCCTCTAGGCGCGGCCGCCGCCGCTGCGCAGCCGCCAGGACCTGCCCCGTGGTAGAGTCGGCGCGTGGTAGAGTCGGCGGTCAGGGCGAGGATGAAGAGGATTTTTTGATCGCGTGGATTTGGTCAGGCAAGCCCAGGAGGGCGATCGGGGCCCCTGGGGGCAACCACCTGGCAGTTCCCAGAGGAGCTTCATGGGGGCCGCGGGGGCTTGCCCGCCGCGCGGGCCACCCGGGGCCGCAGCGGAGTGCCCGAGATGCGGGGCCCCGCAACAGACCTTCTGCCGTCAGCTTTGGGGGTGCCCTGTGGCCTTCGCCCTGGAGGGCCCGCGCTGAGAGATTTTGGAGGGGGCCTGCGAAGGCCAGCGTGAGTGGGCCTATTTTTGGTTGAGAGGTATGTCGCCGGCGCCCTCGGCGCTGCGCCGCGCCGCCCCCCCGCTCGGGGCTCCAGGGTCGCGGGGGGCGCCCTGGCGCAAGGCGCCGAGTTTCGTCTCGCCAGTTCGATGACTGTAGCTCCTGATGGCTCGGAGGGCGCGTGCCATGGAGATTCCGGGCTCCGAAGATGTGGGTGGGGTTTCGTGGTGGGACTTGCTTGAGTGGGCGCGCGGGCTTTTGGAGCATCGGAGCCAGTCAGTTCCGATCTCCGATCTGACGGCTGCAGCGGAGGCTGCCGAGGCAACGGGGGGGCCTAGTTCTGGCGATCGACGCCCAGTCTGTGGTGGGTGGCGTAAGAGCTGGTCCGCGCGAGGCTCAGGCGGGGGGGGGGGCGGGCATTGGCGCACAGGCAGATTCGGCAATCGGCCCAGTCGGTTCAGAAGGGCGCCAGGGGCCGCCTGCTGTTTTTTTTTTGTTGTTGTTCTTTTTTTTCCCTCCCCGGCCAGGCCCTGGAGAGAGAGAGAGAGAGAGAGAGGGAGACATGTCAGGCTTTCCAGCCCGTGTATCGGGTATCTGACCAGCTTGCACAACTTTTTGGGGTGTCATGGGGGTTGTCTGGTTTCGGGCCTGTGATGGGGTGCGGCGCCACGTCCTTCCAGAGGCTGGGTGTGCAATGCAAGCCAGAGACCCTCACTAAAGGTGGAAAAAGGGGTTCATTAATTCCTTGGAGCAGGAGAGATTGCTGGTGGGTGTCGAGGAATGGGCAGACGATCTGAGACCCCCGACGCCCATTGTTTCTATCTAGCGGACTATGAGTCACAGCGGCCCCCGTCAGAAGAACTGACCGCCAAGGTAGGTGGTAAGAGGTAGTAGTAGGAGGAGGAGAAGGAGGAGGAGGAGGAGGGGGGGAATCCAATGCCGACCGATCCTGGGCTCAGGGTGGGGTTCGCCATGAGAAAATGGTTCGAGTCGTGAAGCCGTCGCGTCGGGAGGTTTTTCGCTGTTTTTGGCTTCGGGAAGCCCTCGCGGGGTTCCAGGACCAGCCAAGTAACGTTTCGGGGTGAAACACGGGTCTTGGGCAAGGGATCGACACCTCGGAAAGTGCACGTTGTGAACTAGTCGCGGCGTCGGGGATCTGGGAGTTGGCGCTGGTACGCAGGCGCGCAACTCACCAGTACGCGCTCCGTCTCAGTTTGGTCGCGCCGTGCTCCACATTGCCGCGCCAGGCGCGTGGACGTCGGCGGGAGCCAGCGGGGGCTGGTGGAGGGTCGAATCTTGTTCCCGGAAGTGAGGTGGCTAGAGCGACGCATGTGAGAATTTTCAGGAGTGGAGTGGAGGCAGCAGGATGGCTTGCGTTGCCGCGCGTGCACAAGCCCGCTCAGGGCGCGCTCCGGCATATGCTGCGACCCTGGCCTGACTCTGACCCGACCCAGGCTTCCAGACACCTTGTAGTGGATTGTTCTTGGGCCTCATGGGGAGGGTGGCGGTGTTGATATCACCGCAGCGAGCCAGCGATTTTGTACACACCCGCCCTCTTTTGAAGGCGCAGGGAACACTCGTCGGCGGTTGTTGGTGTATATATTTTCGTGGCGTATCCACAGCGGTCAGCATCGCCAAAGTCCGGCCGTTGCATAATTCGGGCGGGGCTGGAGCAATCGTTGCAGGGCGTTCCTGAACGCTCCCACAGAACGTCTTGGAGCGCTCTGGAATGGCCGCGGCGCCCGATGCATCCTCCAGAACTGTCGGATTTCAGAGATCTCCGTTTTATCCATGTCCGATTTTGTCCCTCTTCTGGCCTCGTCTTCGAAAGGGTGGGGGCGATAAAAGGGTGGTGAAGAAATGTGCGCTCTTCGTGCCTCTTCGGGGCAGTAGATGAGGCCCCCTCTGGGGCCCCAAAGGTACACGAAGCGTGCACGTTTCGTCATCTCCCTTTCATCGCCCTCTATTATTAACTCGGGCATTTCCCTTTACAGGAGGAATTACTTAAACCAATTAATAAAAACACAGGGGACGGTTTTTGTTTTGAGAATATTATGTATGACTATTTTTGAATGTCTTTTGAGGAGGGCATGCCCGACCTAACCCTATTAGGCAACGTGCAATCCGTTACATCGTCGGATGCGGCGAGTCGCGATCAATCGGCACTTGCCCTGGTGGACGCCTCGCCAGGCAGGCAGGGGCATCGCACAGTTTTTGAGCGGTCTTGGGTACGGTGTTTTTTTGAACCATCAGGGTTGTCTCGAAAAGTGGTCCCAGAGATGTACTCGAGACGTACCCCAACCCTTTCTGAACGCGAGGCGATTTCCAATAGGAACGCTCCATTGACAATTATCCTGTCGAAGGACCCAACCAGATGCATGTGTGAGTACCGCATTTATGTGCCCCGCCTTCGGTGGAGCTCCCTATGGGGCCACGAAACGTGTGAGGGGTGTGCCGAAATGGGTGCGGTGGAGCCGTTCGAACCCTGCCACTGGGGCCTTCGGTGGAGACTCTTATGGGGCCAAGGAGCGTGTGAGGGATCTGCCGACATGGGTGCGGTGGCGCCATGGGAACCCTGCTACTGGGGCCTTCGGTAGAGCTCCCTACGGGGCCACGAAACGTGTGACGGGTGTGCCGAAATGGGTGCGGTGGAGCCATGCGAACCCTGCCACCGCGGCCTTTGGTGGAGCTCCTGTGGGGCCGCGAAGCGTGTGAGGGGTGTGCCGACACGGGTGCAGCCAAGCTATGCGAACCCTGTCATTGGGGCCTTCGGTGGATCTCCTTGTGGGGCCAAGAAGCGTGTGAGGGGTGTGCCGACATGTGTGTGGTGGCGCCATGCGAACCCTGCCACCGCGGCCTTCGGTAGAATTCCCTATGGGGCCACGAAGCGCGTGCGGGGTTTGCCGAAATGGGTGATGGGCGCCATGCGAACCTTGCCACCGCGGCCTTCGGTGGAGCTTCCTTTCGGGCCACGACGCGTGTGAGGGGTTTGCCGAAATGGGTGCGGTGGCGCCATGCGAACCCTGCCACCGCGACCTTCGGTGGAGTTCCCTTGTGTGCCAGCAAACGTGTGAGGTGTGTGCCGAAACAGAAACATGCGGAGGGCAGAGGCAATGAGGGTGAGGTGGAGGAGGGGGAAGCGGCAGGAGGAACGCGGGGCGCTGCCTCTTCAAAACGAGGACCTGACACCACAGGATGGTTGGGAATAGCACACTGACAGATATGCAGCGCTGTTGAACACTTGATGCATCCAGATAGCACCCCAGGGAGCTGCGAGGTCCAGTCGGGGTCTGCGTATGACCCCACTGCGCTGGGCCTCCCTGGAGCCCAGGAGGGTGGCAACAGTTGCGCAGGCGGGACTGCGAGATCTAGTCTGGGTTCGCGTATGGCCCCACTGCGCTTGGCCCTCCGGGAGCCCTCGAAGATGGCGACATGTGCGCAGGCGGGGAGCTGCGAGGTCTAGTCTGGGTTCGCGTATGGGCCCACTGCGCTGGGCCTCCAGGGAGCCCTCGACGATGGCGATGGTTGCGCAGGTGGCAGCACACCCAAGGGGCTGCGAAGTCTAGGCTGGGTCCGCGTATGACCCCGCTGCGCTGGCCTGGCATCCTCGGACGTTTGCATTGTTTTCGGCGAGGACCATCGAAAAGCATCCTGGGTCATCGGGCATAAAAAAAACTCGCACGAGCACGGAGCAAGCATGGGAAGGGACGTCCGAGCGATGGCAAGCGGAGCCTCCCCGGAGCCCGGGGTTGAGGCAACAATTAGCGCCGGCAGGGAGCCCAAGCACAGGAGGTTTGCGAATACAGTGGAGATCCATGCCGAGAAACACCCTGCTTGCCTTCAGGGTGCCCTGGGTTTCTTGGGTTTCGATGGTTTTGCGATGGAGAGCGCGACGTTCCCACACCAAAAGTCCATGGACGTCCTGGGGTCTCAGGGTTGGGTTTCTTGTGGAAGGTTTCTTGTGGACTGGCCTCCACTGTTAAGACAGGCAGGCCCTGGTAGACTCCCACATCTGCGCTGCCACAAGAACTTGTGGCATGGCCCCAGGGAGCTCGATCACTTCCCAGGGCTGTTTTTTTCATCCCGACTCGTTTTTTTCTGGCAGTTTCGAAGCCAGGATGCGTTCTTCAGAGGCCGAAATCGTGACGAGACTGGCCGTCGCATGTTTTTTTGCGCCGCCTTGACCTGGGGGAATGTTCGATCTCTGAGTTTAAATACAGTTTTTTCTTCTTCGATCCTGGGTGCACGAGGCGCACTTCGACGACAAGCTACAGAAAGACCCAAGACCCAGAGAGCGATGAGCTCCTTCCGAGACTAAAGTGGCCATGATTCTCTAAGGTTTGGACTCTATAGCAGAGCGGCATCGAGATCACCGACGAGTTCCCTTGGGGCGATCATCCTGCTTTAGGTGAGCTCGTTCGCGGCGCTTCGCTCGCCGCAGTCTCCGACGCCGAGTCCCATCGAGCTCGAAGTCAGCCAGCTCATCCAGCTCGAAGTCAGTGAGCCCCTTCCCGATCAAGTTGTGACAATCAAGCCGGACGAAGAAATGCACTTATGCACATATTTCGTCAGCATCGGGCTGACCTTGCTTCTCTTGCGAGACTCTGCTGAGCCCAATTTACTACAGATCACGTGCAGGCAAAGGTGTGGAAGCATTGCTCCCACATGTGAGCGACGCAGAAACGGGGTCGTCTGCGCCGACATCGGCGCGTAAGCTGCCCGCGCAATGTCGAGCGTAAGCGCCCTCGTCTCCAGTGTGGCGTCCCGCGCTGGCGGCCCGCGTAAGCCGCCGCGTAAGGTCGCTGCGTCATCTCGCGTAAGACCCGTTTCTTTACGTCGCTCATGTGCTACCGGTGGTCGTGATCCCGCCATTGCACCCTGCCCTTCCGTGGCCTTGCACTGGCATGCCCAGATTACCACGGCTTCGGCCCCTCGCAGGATCTACCAGCAGGATACTACGAATGCGTCGCACGGGCTGCCAGCCCGCCAGCCACTGCGGTCTGCCTGGCCCCCAGCCTGTACATCCTGGAATCGCTGCCTGGGGTTACGATCCCAGGGCTTCCACTGCACAGCGGCTAGTTATCTCGTGTAAGACCCGTTTTTGATCGTCGCTCATGTGTTACCAGTGGTCAAAAACACAGTGCGTGGTTTCCCACAGTTTGTGTTTTTGTTTGCGTGTGTTTTTTTTCCAGTGCGTGTGTGTTTTTATTTGTGCGTGTTTGTTCCCAGGGCTTCCACTGCACAGCGGCGAGTCCAGACTTGCTGGCCCCACGGGCCCGGAGGAGCAGCGGCCGCCCGGCCCTGCCAGCCCGGAGTGGGACTTCGGCGTCGGGGACGGCGGCGAGGCGGCGCCGGGCGGCGCGCCTTCGCCGGCGACCGGGGCGGAAGGCGGGCTCACCCAGCTGGTCGTCGTCGTCGTCGTCGTTGTTGTCGTCGTTGTCGTCGTCGTACCGTCGTCGTCGTACCGTCGTCGTCGTCGTCGTCGTCGTCGTCGTCGTCGCCATCGTCGTCGTCGTCGTCGTCGTCGTCGTCGTCGGCGTGGTCGTCGTCGTCGTCGTCGTCGTCGTCGTCGTCGTCGTCGTCGTCGTCGTCGCCATCGTCGTCGTACCGTCGTCGTCGTCGTCGTCGTCGTCGTCGTCGTCGTCGTCGTCGTCGTCGTCGTCGTCGGCGTGGTCGTCGTCGTCGTCGTCGTCCACGTCGCCCTCGTCGTCGTCGTCGTCGACGTCGTCGTCTAACCGTCGTCGTCGTCCGCGTCGTCGGTCGTCGTCGTCGTCGTCGTCGTCCGTCCGTCGTCCGTCGTGGTCGCAGTCGTCGTCCGTCGTCGTCCGTCGTCGTTCGTCGTCGTCGTCGTCCGTCGTCGTCAGTCGTCGTCCGTCGTGGTCGTGGTCGTCGTCGTCGTCGTCCGTCGTCGTCGTCGTCATCCGTCCTCGTCCGTCGTCCGTTATCGTCGTCGTCGTCCGTCGCCCATCATCGTCCGTCATCGTCCGTCGTCGTTCGTCGTCGTCGTCGTGTCCGTCGTCCGTCGTCGTCGGTCGTCCGTCGTAAGTCGTCGTCGTCGTTCTTCGTCGTCGTCGTCGTTCTTCGTCGGTCTTCGTCCGTCGTCCGTCGTCGTTCGTCCGTCGTCGTCATCGTCGTCGTCGACCGTCGTCGATCGTCGACGTCGTCGTCTCGTCCCTCGTTCGTCGTCGCATCGTCATTCGTCGTCAGTAGCCATCGTCGGCGTCCTCGCTCTCGTCGTGCGTCCATCGTTCGTCGTCCATCGTCGTCGTTCGTCGTCGTCATCGTGCATCGTCCACGTGTCGTCGCGTACGTCCATCGTCGTCGTCCATCATCGTCGCCCATCATCGTCGTCGTCGTCGTCGTCGGCGTCGTCCATCGTCGTCGGCCATCGTCGTCGTCGTCGTCGTCGTCGTCGTCGTCGCCAATCGTCTTTGTCGTCGTCGTAGTCGTCGTCGTAGTCCATCGTCGTCGTCCATCGCCGTCGTCGTCGTCGTCGTCGTCGTCGTCGTAGACGTCACCGTCCGTCGTCGTCGTCGTCGTCGTCGTCGTTGTCGTCGTCCATCGTCGTCGTCGTCGTCGTCCATCGTCGTCGTCGCCCATCGTCGGCGTCGTCGTCGTCCATCGTCGTCCATCGTCGTCGTCCATCGTCGTCGTCGTCGTCGTCGTCGTCCATCGTCCATCGTCCATCGTCGTCGTCGTCGTCGTCCATCGTCGTCGCCCATCATCGTCGCCCATCATCGTCGTCGTCGTCGTCGGCGTCGTCCATCGTCGTCGGCCATCGTCGTCGTCGTCGTCGTCGTCGTCGCCGTCGTCGCCAATCGTCTTTGTCGTCGTCGTAGTCGTCGTCGTCGTCCATCGTCGTCGTCCATCGTCGTCGTCGTCGTCGTCGTCGTCGTCGACGTCGCCGTCCGTCGTCGTCGTCGTC